AATTTTTTTTTTTTTTTTTTTGTTTTTTTTTTTCTTTTTTTTTTATTTCTTTTAATTCTTTTTTTATTTTTTATTTCTTTTTCTTTTTTATGACCTTATTATACACCTGAATATATAAATATATTTCCGGTGTATATACGCAGCAGCAGCAGCAGCAGCAGCAGCAGCAGCAGCACACCCTCATCCTTATATATATAATAAGGGGCCCCCTCTTCTTCCTTTTATACAGTAAGTAATTTAGTAATTTAATTTAATTCTTCTTTGTATAGATCTATGTCTTTTTGCTGCTGCTGCTGTTCTGCTGCTGCAGCAGCAGCAGCAGCAGCAGCAGCAGCAGAAACAGACCAGCGGCGGCCCGACCGGTCAACTTTCTTGCCCATTCATCCTTTTCTTCTTTTTTTTTATTTATTTTATTTATATTTAATTAAATAAACTAATTATATGTTTATTTAATCCTTTTTTCTTCTTTTTTTCTTTTTATTATCTTCTTTTTATATGCCATATTAGTAGCAGCAAACAGCAGCAGCAGCAGCAACACCAGCAGCAACTGTTATTAATGATTTGCTGCTCAACTACTAATCCTGCTGCTGCTCCTCTTGCTGCTAAATATTACCTCTTGTCTTTTTTTTTCTTTTTCTTTGTCTTTTTATTTATTTATTAATATTATTGTTGCTGTTATTTCCTTCCTATTGTTACTCTTGTCTTAATATCTGCTGCTGCTGCTGCTGCTGCTGCTGCAGCAATTGCTGCTACTGCTGCTATAGATCTAGGTCGTGTTTTTTTTCTTTTGCTGCTGCAGCACCATGCAAACGGAGACAGTTGCCCTTGAGGGCCCCGAGAAGGCCTGGGCCCTGCAGCTGCAGCAGCAGCTGCAGCAGCAACCACTGCAGCAGCAGCTGCAGCAGCAGCTGCAGCAGGCTGCCTCGGAGGAAGCTGACAGCAACTCTTCTTCTCCTCCTCCGCCAACTTGGGATCTATGGAAGCTAGCAGCACCAGTGTAAGTACACCGCAAATATCTGCTGCTGCTGCTGCTGTTGCTGTTGTTGCTGCTGCTGCTAAAGTAAATATACACACAGAAGCTGCTGCTGCTGCTGCTGCTGCTGCTGCAGCAGCAATATTATTATCAGTATAATAGGGACATAGAGACAGTCCCTCTCTGCGTATATAATTTGTATACAGCAGCAAAAGAAGTTGTTGCTGCTTAGTAATCTGTTACTGTTTGCTGCTACGGTTTCCTGCTGCTGCTGCTGCTGCTGCTGCTGCTGCTGCTTAATCGATACTTTTGCTGCTATATTCGTTCTATGGTATTATTGCTGCTGTTGCTGCTCAGGCCTCCATCTCTGCACGATGGTACAGAGGAGGATTCAGCAGAGACAGCAGCAGCAGCTGCTGCTGTTGCTGCAGCAGCAGCAGCTGCAGCAGGAGGAGGAGGAGGAGCAGCAGCAGCAGCAGCAGATCCTTTAGTAAGCAATGAGAGTATAGTGAGTACAGATCCATCAGTAACTGTAGATGTGGGGTCAACAGGATCGGGATCGGGATCGGGATCGGGATCGGATCCCATTGTCTCCTCCAGGGAGGCATCAGCTATGACGGATAGTGTATCTACTCGTTGCCCAACAGATGACGTATTAGCGGATCCATTAGGATTTGTTCTATTAGGAGGTGCAGCAGCAGCAGCAGCAGCAGCAGCTGCAGCAGCAGCAGCAGGAGGAGGGGGAGATAAGAAAAAGGAACTTAATAATACACGGTGTCCATCAGCAACTAATGCAAATACAGCAACAGCAGCAGCAGCAGGTTCAGCTGCTGCAGCAGGAACTGAAGCAGCAGCAGATCCAGCAGCAGCAGCAGCAGCAGCAGCAGCAGCAGCAACAGGAAGAGGAGAGAAGAATCGTAATAAATGTCCTAAGGTGACTTGGACAGATGGTGAGACAGCGGGATCAGCAGCAGCAGCAGGAACGGGATCAACAGGAGGAGGAGCAGCAGCAGCAGCAGCAACAGCAGCAGGAGGAGGAGCAGCAACAGGAGAGGAAGCAATAGAGGAAGACTGCTCCCCTTCCCTTAAGTCCCTGCAGCGGCTGACCAGTGGTCTCGAGCAGCTGCTGCGGGGGGTGCAGCAAGTGCAGCAGCAAATACAAGAAGCACAAAGAAATATAGTATGGGTATTGGGTGGATCTGCAGATGCGTTGCTGCTGCAGCAGCAGCAGCAGCAGCAACAGCAGCAGCAGCAACAGACACCTACATTAGCCTTACCAGCTCCTCCTACTACTGCAGCAGCAGCAGGAACAACGACTCCCCCGCTGTCGGAGTCATCTTCGCTGCTGCTGCCTGCAGCAGCAGCAGCAGCAGCAGCAGCAGATAGTAATTGTTTATTAGGGACAGAAGAAGATATTGGTGTGTCTCCTTCCTTACTTTCTTTCCTTGAGCTGCTGTCTAGACAAACAACAACAGCAGCAGCACCAGCAGCAGCAGCACCAGCAGCAGCAGCAACAGGGGGAGCAGCAGCAACAGCAGCACAAACAGCAAAAGCATTAAGACGTCTTTCTTCTTGGGGTATTGAGGACACTGCATGCAGCAGCAGCAGCACACATACAGACACCGCAGCTCTAGCAGCAGCAGCAGCAGCAGCAGCAGCAGCACCAAGTGCAGCAGCTGATTGGCGTACATCGTTACCATTGTTATCGCATGCACAAGATCATCATCAGCAGCAGCAACAGCAGCAGCAGCAGCAGCAGCAAGTATTAGGCTGCGAAGCAGATTGTTACTCCTTATTACCTGTTGCTGCAGAGGAATCTCCTATCCTTCCCCGTAAACGTTCAAAACTATCAGCAGCAGCAGCAGGAAGCAGCAGCAGCAGCAGCAGCAGCAGCAACAACAGCAGCACGAACGGTAGCGGATCCGGATGTTGTGGTTATAACCCATCATCTTGTTCGTCATCATCATCTGCATCTGTTGCTGCAGCTGCTGCAGCAGCAGCAGCAGCAGCAGCAGCAGCACCAATGCCTGGTGTAAGATTTGCTAAGGATCGTAATAGTTGGGTAGCCTTCTGGTGCGAGAACGGTAAACAAAATTATAAATCTTTTAGTAATAAAAAGTTTGGTGCAGAGGCAGCAAGATTGATGGCAATAGCAGCAAGACAATCCTTTGACGAGAGGGCTAATAATAATCATAATAATAATAGCAGCAGCAGCAGCAGCAGCAGCAGCAACAGCAGCAGCAGCAGCAGCAGCGGCGGCGGCGGCAGCGGCAACAATCATAATGGGGGAAGTAATAATGGTAAAGGACATCATCATCATCATGGACATCATCATGGACATCATCATGCTGCTGCTGCTGCTGCTGCAGCAGCAGCAGCAGCAAATAATAATGCTGCATTAGGTAGAGGTGATGCATTAAGTGCTGCAGCAGCAAGTGCTGCAGCAGCAGCAGCAGCAGCAGGATCATCCCAAGATAATGTTTTATCAAGAAGTTATCTTAGTACAAGATTACATCATCAATCCTCATCATCATCATCAGCAGCAGCAGCAGCAGCAGCAGCAGCAGCAGGAGCAGGAGCAGGATCATCATCATCTCCGTTATCATTAGGCTGTTACCCCCCTTATGAGGGTTCATCTTGTAGCATACAATATGAGGAATGTGATGGTACGAATAGTATGGGTGCTGCTGCTGCTGCAGCAGCAGCAAGTCTATCAAGAGTAGAGATGCAACAATTGGCAGCAGCACTAAAAAATCCTAAGGGAGTCTGCTACGCACCAAGCAACAATACATGGATGGCCTACGGCAGTCTCGGCACGGGCGCTCGAATGTGTCGCTCATTTCCGGTTTCGAAATTTGGATTCTATGGGGCAAGAAGGTTGGCTATAAAGGCTGTAAGCCAATATCAACAAAAACAGCAACAACAGCAGCAGCAGCAGCAGCAACAGCAGCAGCAGCAACAACAACAAGCTATTGCTATTGCCGGCACAGAGACCATTCATTTAAGGGGTCATAGTCCTGCTCCATCTAATCCATTTGTTCCTATAAGACAGGTCTTTAATAGTAGCACCAATAGTAATAGCAGCAGCAGCAGCAGCAGCAGCAACAGCAGCAGCAGCAGCAGCAGCAGCAGCAGCAGCAGCAGCAATGGATTTGGGATACATGGAGGCTCATCACTAAAAAGAAGAAGACCAACAAATAAAGATATTAGATTCACAACGCATGCAGATAGCAGCAAAACTAAAATTGAAGCAGCAGCAGCAGCAACAGCAACAGCAACTGCAGCAGCAGCAACAGATGTTGATACTAAACATAATTTGCTGCTTGCATCACCTATTCCTCCTGTTGCTGCTGCTCCTCCTCCTCCTCCTGCTGCTGCTGCTGTTCCTGCTGCTGATAAGGATGATGTATTTACTGCTGCTAATGATGCTACTACCAGTACTACTGCAGCAGATGCTGCTGCTGATGCAGCAGCAGCAGCAGCAGCAGTAGCAGCAGCAAAGGAGGTTGAGGATTCTTTTAGTAGCAGCAGCAGCAAACCCTGCAGCAAGGAAACAGAGGAAACAATGGAGATATGCACAGACACCAACAGCAGCAACAGCAGCAGCAGCAGCAACAATAACAACAACAGCAGCAGCAGCAGCAAAGAACATGACTTGCTGCTGTCTCTTGTCCCTTCTGCTTCCTTAATAAAATCCAACAGCGAGGAGACAGAAGAAGCAATTAGCTGCAGCAGCAACAGCAGCAGCAGCAGCAGCAGCAGCAGCAGCAGCAGCAGCTAGAGGGAGACAATCTCTGTATATAGCAGCAAATCGCGTTTTTTATACATTGGCTATTTATATTTATATAATTAAATAATTATATTTATTTAATTATATTTATTTAATTATATTTATTTAATTATATTTATTTAATTATATTTATATTTATATTTATTATTCTTATATTTATATATAAATAAATAAATAAATATTTATTTATTTATTTTATATAAATATATTTATTTATATGTATGTAGGTACTTATTACTATTTATATACATAGTTATATATATATATATATA